ATTAAAGAGCTTAAGCTCTCTTGGTAAGTGTCACCATGATCATGGTGTGTGCTAATGTATTGGCAGCTCACTTGACCCCATGTTGGACTATAAAGGCCTGAAGGCAGGTGCAAGCTGTGCTGTGACAAGAATTTGAAGTGAACTCCCCACCTTTCCTGGAGAATGTGGCACACACCTTATCAGGCCCCATGTGCAAGCCAGTGACCTCAACCACTGGACCTCAAACTACATATCAACCTGGAGTTTGGCAGCCACTTTGAGAGCTTAGACTGTGGCTACACTCTGTTAGCCTTGAAACTTGGAAGCCTTCAAGGGACTGTGTTGAATGCCATCTTCTCTGAGAGCTGCTCGTATAAAGGTAGCACTCCTCGTACTTGCATTAGGCTTTACTTTCCAGAGAGGCTACATCGTTGTAATTGAGCAACTAGACTTTAATGATTTCGGAACTCAATCGCTATGTGACTGACGTACCCTATTGAGTGTCTTCCTGGTGAGATTTGTTCATATTAAACTCCCCCACTTTAAGCATTGTGAGCCTGAGGAAAAAAATGTTCTTTGTATGGCAATAAACCGTGTGATTTGTGAAATCATACTTTGATCATCTCCTCATTTTAACCATACACAATGCCAGAGATCTGGGAAACTAAGAAGGAAGGAATTGGGTCTAAAAATGTGTTTAATGAAGTAAAAATGCCCTAAGTATCCCAAAACAGGGGCATGGCTGGATAAATAAAAGTATGCTACCCACCTCTTCAGAATGTAAGGAAGCTGCGTCACACATGGGAAGATTGTCACGATATGATGTGCAGAGGGGAACTGTCAGTTTTACAGGACGGCGGCAGAGTCCTGTTTGGCCCAGTCCCAGGAGGGCTCTTTGGTGTGAAATGTGAAGCCCCCAGGAAATGGCCTGGATGGGCTAAAAGTAAGCACAAGACGTAGGAGGGGCTGACCGAATTAAAAGAAATAGCAGGAACTTGAGCGCTGGCGCTGGCAGCTGGAGGAGAGAGGAGCTGCCAAGTAGGGCATCCAGGCACCTAATTGGTATCTGCGGGAAGGAGTGGCCATCGAGGATTCCCCCCCGGCAGAGACACTTAGTGCTGGGGAACATTCTGTTGTCATCATTTGCCATGTTGCCACACGAGGTCATCTCCCTCTCTCCCTGTGCCTTTAGTAAGTGGCCAGCGCAGAGCCTCCAGGTGCAGCAGAGCTCGTAGAAATCCTCAGGGCTGCAGGAGGGCTGCCGGGTCCCAGCCACACTGGGGATCAGGCAGCGCCAGCAGGAAACGGCCCGCTCAAAATGGATGATGTGCAGGGAAACGAGAAGGGGCCGTGTGGTCCCTGGGGGCTGGCAACAGCTCAGCACCTGAAGGTCCCAGGCAGATGGGGAGAGAGAGGGCCCTGGGTTGCCTGACAAAGCTGCCGCCTTCTTTTGAGGGACACAGACAGCCCTCAGTGGCCCCACAAGGAGGGAGTAGGGGGATGGACAGTGTTATGGGTTGAATTGGGTCCCCTAAATCCACATGTAGAAGCCCTAACCCCCAATATTTTTAGAGGTGACAGTATTTGGAGATAGAGCCTTTACAGAGGGGATTAGGTTAATCCAATCTAATTGTTGTCCTTATAAGAAGAGGTAATCTGGCCACACGGAGAGACACCAGGGTCACACGCACAGAGGAAAGACGGTGTGAGGACCGGGAGAAGGCGGCCATCTGCAAGACAAGGAGAGAGGCCTCAGAAGAGACCAACCTTGCTGACATCTTGATTGCAGACTCCCGCTCCAGACTGGGGTGGACACATTTCTGTGGTTTAAGACCCCAGTCTGTGATACTCTGTGATGACAGCCCTGGCAAACTAATGCACTGAATACCCCAACCTCACCTTCCTTCCCTCTTCCTCCTTCCGGTCTCTGGCCGGTGCCTCCATTGAGCATGGGAGGGAGTGGGTACAGGCGACCCGGGCCAGCGCCCAGGTGCAGAGCAAGGAGAAGAAGGTGGAGAGTGGAGCTGGGGGCAGACAGAGTGTGTACACACACCTGGGAGGGGTGTTGAGCCAATTTAATGTCTCACAGGACAGGTCACCC